CCCCTATAGTAAAATCGAAACCCTAAACCTTAAAAGAAAACCTTTAAAAGGTAAGCCTTCAGGGAACCCTGTTCTATATCTTCAGGCCCTACATTGGCTTTAGGCTTTAGGGTTTCTGGCCTCTCGCCCCAGACGATGGCAAGGATTCAAAGGGCTTCCGGCGAGTCGCTCATGTTGTTGTGCTGTAAAATGCACTACTTGGAGGCCCAGGGGACTTAGTAATTTGGTTATACGTAGGATATTAATTAGGGTAACTCCATTTAGGGTACTTATAACTCTACTTACAACCTACTTACTAAGTCCCCTGGGCCTCCAAGTACCTACAGTCTCCATTGCAGTTCCACTTGTTGTGCTACCCCTATACCTTATTCTAGCTCTTAGGAAGGCCCCTATAGTAAAATCGAAACCCTAAACCCTAAACCCTAAACCCTAAACCCTAAACCCTAAACCTTAAAAGAAGACCTCTTCGAGTCTCCATTGTAGTTCCACTTTTTGTTAACCAACCTTACAGTTTAGGGTTTAGGGTTTAGGGTTTAGGGTTTGAGGTTTAGGGTTCGATCCTATAATATAAAGCTGGTTAACAAGACAGGAACTACAATGGAGACTGTAGGTATAATGTACTATTATGCACAAATTTAAAATACACATACATGTTAGAATATACCATTGTACTACCATAACACACTATCATACTACGATGAAGAACGGCCGGTATTTTGTTGTGGCTCAGGTTGCAGGTTGCAAGTTACCAGCCCTGTCGAGCAGACAAGCCATGAGGTTCCTACTGATTTGGCTGTTTTGCCAGGCACTAGAGTGCCTGGCTGTCCGTAGCGATAGACGTGAGTTTGCCAAAGAGAAGTCCGTGTGGCGTTCCGACTTCGCGGAGACGAAGGTCGTGCTGTGGACGAGCCTCGAGGATGCCACTTTCTACATGTTGTACCTTAGGGGTACTTAGAAATAATTTTTAATCTTTGGCTACTATAAACCCTAAGAAGCAGCTAATATTATAATTTTTGCAGGGGGTCTAAGTTCAGTATAGGTACGAGTTGGCTGCGGCACACCTCTGGGCATATCAGGAGTTCCGTCCGAATGTGCAGGCCATCTTTAGCAACGACGCTCGCTTCAACGAAGGCCTCATGGGTGAAATGGTCATCAACGAACTCTTCGACCACCGCTCATCGTTTCGCTCTCAGAGTGGCGACGTGTACCTCATTGTCGCATCCTCCAAGTACTCGCCCGGTGATGACAGCTTTACGGAGTCTCTCTTGAGATGGGGCTGGGCCCCGGTGCGTCTCAAGGATTTCATCGTCCACTGTTACTTGGACTCTGGCGGTGATGCGCAGCAAAGAAATCCAGAGCCGGTGGCACGAGCCATGGCAGTGGAATGGAATGGGAAGTCCTTCAGCGACTACAATGTCTGGATCGTGCCAGTCCCGTTGATGAAGCAAGGCTGGCTGACCCGGGACTACCAACGAGGCTCCTCCAGAGAGGCGACGGTGATGGAGGTCGCGGATGAGGTGCTGATCTCCAAGGAGTACCTGGGAATTCCAACACCTACCGTTTTAGGTACTAAACCCTAAACCCTAAACCCTACACCCTAAACCCTATATGCCTATAATTCAGGGGGTCATAGGCTGCTATTCGGTAGGGTTTGTGGAGACAGGTACAGCAAGGAACAGCTCTCGGAGTACATGGTCCAATCCATCCAACCTGGTCCCGCCAGGTCGGGTTTTGGAAGTTTTTCAGGATCTAGGCGCAAGACTCCCTCCTAGCATCCTTCTTGTCATAAACTCCCGAAAAAGAGTGTATGATGCAAATATGCATACGCATATATATATATATAGATATAGATATAGATATAGATACAGAGATATATATATATATATATATAGATATATAGGTAGCTTGGAAGCAACACTAGAATGCCATAGCAGAAGCCGCTTCTCAGCGATGTTCAGGCCCGAGAGTTGTGCCCTATCAGGTTCCACTACAAATCCCTAAACCCTAAACCCTAAACCCTGAACCCTAAAAACCTAAACCCTAAACCCTGAACCCTAAACCCTAAACCCTATCAGGTTCGACTACAAGATCGGACTGCTCGGCGGAAACGGGCCCATTGCCGGGGCCTTCGCTGTGATGATGGTGGCGGAGACGCTGCTTAAGGCCGGGGCATAGAAGCGGCCAACAACCCAAACCCAGCACGCCTAGGCATCCTCGACATTCCCAGAGAACCCAATATCCCCTAATTATGGAATAGACCTTAGACAATAAGGACCTAAATATTATGATTTAAGGTATATTCCTTATTTAAGGGGTGTTGGGTTCTCTGGGTAACCTACCCTAAACCCCAAACCCTAAACCCTAAACCCTAAACCCTAAAACCTGAAACCTAAACCCTGAACCCTGAACCCTGAACCCTACCTACCAGGCCACCGGCAGCCTTGGCCACGTGGGCCTGGAACTCTTCTCCCAGTCCCAGCATCCCATGTCCGGCGCGGAAGCAGTACTGCACCCTTTGATGCTTAGACAGACGGTTTAGGGTTTAGGGTTTAGGGTTTAGGGTTTAGGGTTTAGGGTTTAGGGTTGGGAGAACTTTAAACTTTTTGGCTTTATACATTAGGTCTATCCTAAAAAGTTTGAGCTTTATTGGGCCTGGTTGTTGAAGAAGAGAGGATGGTCCAAGCCTACATGGCCGGTTTGAACAAGTTCCTGACCAGGAAAGACATCGATATTTTTGGATGTGCCAGCAACACCTGGTATCAGAACTTGTACGCCCCGAACACCTTGAGCTGGGGCATGGCTGTGCTCTCCGGCTTCAGAATGGTGCATATGCCCCGAGCCACCGTTCAGAAGGCTACGCAATGTTTGCACAGGAGCCGGCTTGGGATGATTGCGACCCACTGGACCCACCGTGCAGGGCGTCGTGAAGGGGAGGTTGACGCCGATGGCTTTCTGCTCAATGGCACAGGACTTAGGGGCACTTAGAAATACTTTTTAATCTTTGGCTACTATAAACCCTAAGAAGCAGCTAAAATTATGATTTTTGCTAGGGGTCTGAGTTCAGTGTAGAGGAATCCTTGAACGTGGCGCTGGAATCGGGAACGTCTATGCCACGGAGGTCCAGGAAGTCAGCAAGGGCGGTGCCGTGATAATCTCTGCGAATGTAGACACAGCTTGGGATGCGATCATTGTGGCGAAGCATGGCGACATAAAAACTGCCAAGAAGCTGTTCCTTAGGGGTACTTAGAAATAATTTTTAATCTTTGGCCACTATAAATCCTAAGAAGCAGCTAAAATTATAATTTTTGCTAGGGGGTCTAAGTTCAGTATAGGTTCATGGACCAGAAGGTTGAGAAGATTCAGGGCCTTGGAGTTCCAGAGCACTTTGGCAGCGCGAACCAGGATGCGTGGGCAGCAGGTGGGGTCCTGGGTTTAGGGTTTAGGGTTTAGGGTTTAGGGTTTAGGGTTTAGGGTTTAGGTGGGCAGCAGGTCGAATCATCGGCAATGTGATGTATATCCAGAAGCAGCAGGTAGATGCCATCATCGGCGGATGTACCGAAATTGGCCTTGCACTGAACCAGCAAGATCTCGACAGCATCTCCGAGCCAGGTTCCATCGCCTTCGTGGACTCGGGTGCCGTCATGGCAGAGGTCTTGGCAAAGAAAGCGCTGGCCAGAGGCAAGGAGATCTCCCTCTGCGACCCCTGAGCATCGCCTTTGCGAAATGCGAAAAGACAGTCATGGGGCAGACACTTGCAGACGGCTGCCCATGGTGTTCCCTCATAGTCTGTATGGTTAACCCTTAACCCTAAACCCTAAACCCTAAACCCTAAACCCTAAACCCTAGACCCAAATGAAGCTGAAGCCCACTCCTCGGAAAGCACAAGAACATCCTATCGGCCAGCTTAGCCCCAAGCTTGCACAACAGCCCGGTAACCGTTAACTCCAGGGAAGGTGATGCGCTATCGCATCCATCGCATCTCCGAACAGCTCCAGAACACTGCAAGCATGGAGCATAAAGCATGCAAACCACGGGTGAAGTTATCCAATCCGCATCTGCTGGTTCTTCTCAAGGCTGCTCCACGCATCTCCATATCTCTGTATGTATATATCTGGTTGTATCTGCCATGCATATCTAGTTGTCCCCCTCTATTTCTCTTTGTCTCTCTGGCTCTCTCTCTTCAGGTGGCTGCGACGCAGTGGAGGCCTGTGTCAGCTTCAGCATTGTTTGTTTAATAATTAGAACTGGGTTTTGGGGCCCTGTGTATTATAATCATAATAAGGAACCCCCCAAACAGTATGAGTAATTATTTAGGAGAGTTCGTGGTTTTGGAGTGGCTGTCGGGTCGTCCTCAAGCGCAGCCGGAACCTGGCATCCCACACCCAAAACCCTACACTTCTACAACCTAAACCCTAAACCCCTAAACCCTAATAAGTTCGGTCTGGGCTCAGGCTGTGGTCAAGAAGCGAAGTGAAATCTTGTGCTTCCAAAGACCGAAGGCTGCGAAAGACCGAGGGACCTAGGCCGGAAATGACAAGCGATGTGGACATAACATGTAGAAGGGTTCAGGGGTTTAGGGGTCAAGGGTTTAGGGTTACTGACTATAAGGAATACGATCAGTGACAAGGCATACAGTTGCTATAAGGCTACTGTAGATCTTCATATAGGGGCCTGAATATAAGTACCAATACTATTCCGTATGGTTCCTCGGTATAGTTGTACCATATAGTATATCCCGAAACCCTATTCGAATGATGAAGGTCCCAATCAACGACAAAACGCTATAAAGCTACCCTGAACCCTGCAGCACCTACAAGCTCTGAACCCAAGAAGAAACCCAGACCCAGGCTGAAATTTTCCCCTGAACCCTAAACCCTATTGGCAAATCCAGCATCCCGGCCATCACAAATGCGTATATCGCTTTCGAAAGCGCCCGCACGGACGAAAATGGCGACGACCCTGTAGGGGCGTGAATAATGAGCAACATCTTGTGTTGGGGTTCCATATGTTTATACTGAGTTCTACTGTAATCTGCCCCCAGGCCGTTTCTAGTCATTTTGGTCTCAAAATTGCATCATAAGACATGCTGAAATGCTCAGTGGCATGCTCGAAGGTGCAGTGCCAGGAGCATCCTAAGTGTGCTAGCTAGTGTTATCTTGCTTAGAGTTTTCAGCTGTTAGTTATCTGATAGAAGAGATAAGATGAAAGGGTGTTAGTTAATTTGGCCAATACGATGCCGAGCGTAGATCGCGGCAGTACTTGTAGTGAATACGACAATGGTTTTATCTGGTGAGTTCAACCATTGATGCTTTGACTGATCAAGCTCAGAATTCACTGTAAGTGACGGGGTGAAAGTCCTAGTGGGGAATGCACATGATTCCTCCGACATAGTTCACTGCCAGCGTGTCGAAAAGTAGGTCGCTGGCAGGGCCTGCCAGCTGAGATCGTGCAATACTTGGGGGGGCGGGGGGGGGGGGG